CTGTTGGTACCACTATAGTATCTGCTTGGACTCGGTGGTGAATATTCCCTACGGTTAGTATAGTCACCGCTGTTTCTATTGTGCTGGTATCCCCAGCTCTTATACCTCCCACTGCTATTAGGACCTTGTCGCTGTCTGTCATTCATATTGTTCAGCCTCCAGCATTCAGCTCGCATGTGACCTTCTTTACCACAGTGATAACATGTTATCCTTATTGGTCTACTCTTTCCAATGTTAGGCAGGCTGTTACGCCTTTTTCTTGTCGGCGATTGTGTTCTCGGTAGCTGTTCGTATCTGCCCGCTACTGTCTGTGCCAGTACGGTTTCCTCTGCCGACAACTGCTCATGGGGGTGTGAATCCCTGAACGTTGCCACCGCTATTCTAAGCTGATCTTCCGTTTTTATTTTCCTTTCTTTTAGAAAGCTGAATAAGCCCTTGCCCGCTTCATCATAAATTTTGAGGATTAGAAACTGATCTAACAGAGCCTTTGGATCAGTTGTGTCTATCTCCGCTAGTTCAAAGTATTTTAGCAAGTTTTCCTTCATTTTAAATAAAGTGGCCGTTGTGTCCAGGTGGCTCTCCAGTTTCATCGCCACAAAGGCTTTTCTATACTCGTCCTCTGACTTCCCATAACAAGTGAGTAGTTTCTTTTTAATATGGTCATAGTCCTTTTTTTGAATATCAGTAAGCGTGCCAATTATGTTTAAACATTCACCTGTGAGCCTGCTCAGCAAAGTACTTGCCCACATGCTTCTACTGTAGTTATTAGTTGTGGCAATGCACTCAAATTGTGTTAGGTAGTTTAATATTTCTTCTCCTTCTCTTAAGTCCCTGAATTTCAGCTGTAATCTGGTTGAGTGCTCACCCGCCTGTTCAGTACTATTTATTCTTCTCAGTTCTGTTTCATGCTTGTGCTTTCTTTCATCATCTTCTATTTTCCAATTCCTTTCCTCTAACCTCCTAGCCCTCTCTTCTGTCTTCCTAGCCTTCTCTTCTTCTTTTTCTTCAGCTTTCGCCTTAGCAGCTTTTTCTTCATCTTTCTTTAGTAGTTCTTTTATAAATGCCAACCTGTCTTCCTTCGGAATGTCAAGTTCCTTCACAAGTGCTGTATATGTTTCAAAATTTGACATTTTGATATATTTTCTATGACATAAAATATAAATTCATTAGTTGACAATAGATAAATGTTAATTAATTTACAATACCCTTTCTTGTATTCTGGCTTTGTTCAGTTGATTAGAGACATCTAGTAATCCAAGAAAAGTTCATAGTACATATATAGTACAAGAATAGTTCACTTTGTTGATTCCAAAAGGTTGAAAAAATTCAAAATAGTTCTAGTAGCCTGTTACAGAGTAGAAATTTGTCCAGTTTTAGATAAGACATCTATAGGAACAGTTTAGGAACAGTTACAAAAATAAACTTGATCTGCTAAATCCAAACAGTAGAAAAACTTGAACAGCTAATCCATATAGAAAAAACTTGAACAGCTAAATCCAAACAGTAGAAAAGAAACACTAAGATTTGATCGGCTAAATCCAAACAGAAAAAACACACAGACGATATTTACTCGACATTGGTGAGACAATATCGAAATAAGGTGATAAAAATTATCACGTTGATGACTTGACTTGAACAAAACGTCTGACTTGACTACAGCAACCCTTCTGACTTGAGTGTAGATAGATGACTTTCAAGAACTTGACGTACTTGGTAAACAGTGGAAGACCACAGACTGTAATATCTCCATTTCTGACATATGTAGCACCAATTCTTCAACCACTTGTGACATCATAAGTAACAGTAATACAATGTAGCAACATCACTTTATTGCCTCCACTTCTGACACCATAGCAACGGGTGTTGCCCCCACTTCTGACACCATATGTAACAACATGTATTCTTTGTTGTTGTGGGTTTCATACAGGAACACGAGCAACAGTGGCAACTTGAAATGACAACTTTATTTACACTATGTACAGATAAATCCGTGGTACATCCATATTTGAAGATCAACTGATATAGGTACAAATAATAATCACGACTCCAAGTCATGGAGACATCTTACATCCACTGCCATCGTTCCAGTCCCAAAATCCTAGCACACCACACCCGTTCACCTTTTGCTCTCCCTTTTATTCACAACTTTCTCTCCCCTTACGTCAATGAGCGATCTCACCCAAAAACATGGATAAACACATGAGGATCGCTCAGACAGTCCTTCCGCTAGCCAGGTACTCTTCATTCATGCAACTTCATGTAAAACACAATATAATATAAACATACATAATTATACAGTCTGTGACAAGTTTTAAAATATGTGTGATTTATTTTAGAGCATGATGCTGGTAAAGTGTGCTTAAATATCTTTCTTAAAAAATACTGTTTTAAAATGTGTGTGATTTATTTTAGAGCTTATTTACAATAAAGTGTGCTTAAATATTTTTCTTAAAAAATACAGTTTTAAAATGTGTGTGATTTATTTCAGAGCATGTTTCCAGTAAAGTGTGCTTAAACATTTTTCTAAAAAAATACAATTTCTCTTAAAAAGAGCAGTTTTAAAATGTGTGATTTATTTCAGAGCCTGTTGCTGGTATAGTTTGCTTAAATATTTCTCTTAAAAAGAGCAGTTTTAAAATGTATGATTTATTTCAGAGCATGTTGCTGGTATAGTGTGCTTAAATATCTTTCTTAAAAAATAAGTTTTAAAATGTGTGATTTTTTTCAGAGCATGTTTCCAGTAAAGTGTGCTGAAATATTTTTGTTTAAAAAATACAGTTTTAAAATGTGTGATTTATTTCAGAGCATGATTCCAGTAAAGTGTGTTAAAATATTTTTCTTAACAAATACAGTTTTAAAATGTGTGATTTCTTTCAGAGCATGATTCCAGTAAAGTGTGTTAAAATATTTTTCTTAACAAATACAGTTTTAAAATGTGTGATTTCTTTCAGAGCATGATTCCAGTAAAGTGTGCTTACATATATTCTTAAAAATACAGTTTTAAAATGTGTGATTTATTTCAGAGCATGTTTCCAGTAAAGTGTGCATATAGAGTAGAGCCTCAAACGGGGACATCGGCAAACTGGTCCACTGTGGGATGTAGAGTTGTGGAGACGTCTAATGAGAAAACTATCTGTGCCTGTAGTCATCTAACAAATTTTGCACTGATTATGGTAGGAAGGCGTTTCTTGTTATTCTACCACCTTCTTTTGTGTTAATATTTGGAACTCAATAACTATCCTTTACAGTAAGAAGATATTAAAAAAGAAACGCGGGATTGAAAGCTCCCGTAAATGTCCGCTTATTTTCTGATATGACAGTGTCAGTAGAGCCGGGCTATAAAATTGAAAGAAAAATTAATTGTACTAATATTAACTTAAAAAAAATATAATAGAATCTAGAAGAATAAGAATTTCGCTAACAAATTAACGCAACTATGTGTGCATACCTGAGCATAAAATTATTACATTATATTGAAAAACAGATTCGTGTTTAAAAAGTTAATTAAACATCCGATTAAGTCACATTTAATGTGACTATTGTCGTCGAATCAAATCGGTCATGTAGCAGTAAAACTTTTAATAGAAATACCGTAAAGAACCATGTCGGGTCATCGGAAATCACTCACAAATTTGACACAGTCAAGACAATACAAGTTTATAGCGATGTTGAAATTTTCTTTTAACTATCTGAAAAGTATGTTATCTGTATTTTAAAAACCGGAAATTAAGTACCACTTCCGGATATCGGAAATCACTCACAAATTTGACACAGTCATTAGAGTACGAGTTTATAGCCCGTTTAAACTTTATTTTATCTAACTGGAACGTTACTTATTTTATCTGTAATTAAAAAACCGGAAATTAAGTACCACTCTCGGATATTTAATGTCACCTACTATACTTATAAATGAAATTTCGACTAAAGTTTCGTGTTCTCACGGAAAATTCAATAAAATAAGATTTCCAGAAATCGTTCAAATGTCGACATAAATCTTTGCATACAACATAATACATACTGTTTAAATTTCGGTCCAACTTATCATAAACGGTTCTCAAGTTATGGCCTTCTGTGAAACCGGAAGTCGAGAAAGTACCACTTCAAGATCGCGCCCAAAAGTATTGGATTAAAATTCAAATGTTTATTCACCGGTTCCGCGCGATTATAAAATGTCAAAGTTTGTCAAAACCTTGATTTAGATTTATGCACGATTACAATGCATCTTATATATTATTCCGTATACGATATACAGGTTGGTGTAAAACGGTGAAAACTGTTAATATCTAATTTAATTTTTTGTAGACGGTAATATTTATCTCTTATATACGAGAACATAAACATAAAGAAATCTTGTGTCTTTAAGTAACCAAACTCAATTATTTAAGAAAACACTATAAAGTATTTTTATGAATCAAACATTGTCATTCTTTTTGCTTTAAAAATCTAAAGCTTATTCACAAAAATGTATTCAAAGGATGTTTACGAAACCAATAAAAATGCAAATGTGGAAGACGACAAAGCTCTATCCATTATTACTTACGTTGGTTGTGGCACGTCCACATTCGGACTGGCCTTGACTTTATTTGTGTACTCAGTTTACAGGTAAATTTATTCCTTAATTTAGTTTATTGCGACGGAGTGGTTTGGTAGTAGAATGATCAAAGGTTTGTTAAAATAATTAACACGATTTGTGTTTTTATGTTTACATTGGGCTATATTTAACTGTGTTGTGTTGAAATTATTTGAGACAAAATTGTCGTCATATTAATGTTTAGAAAATTGGGCACTTATAAAAAAAATAGGCTACGTTCCCACAGTGCATTTGCTTGGATGCAAACTTCAGGTTGTACTAGTAATAAATTAATATATTAAATGACATAAAATTTAGAATTATTCAACAATAAAAATCGAAAAGTACAGTAGTATCACGTTTTATCAGAAAACTGAGAAGCCAGGAGTCCTCACTCATCATATACAACCTGTGTTGGGCAATGTTCCTATTTAACTGTGTGCTGTTGCTGGGAATGCATTCTCAATATTTGAACACTTTTTTGTGTAAGGTATGTTAGAACATCAGCATTATCTTACATTTTTGTTTCCTAAATACCTAATATTATTACTTATATCAGTATTATCTTACTTAAATACCAAATTCATAATAATATTGCCTACATCAGTATTATCTTACAATTTTTGTTTCTTAAATACTAAATTCATAATATTACTCATATCAGTATTATCTTTCAATTTGTTGTTTCTTCAATACCTAAATCAGAATAATATTACTTATATCAGAAATACTGTACAATTTTTGTGTCTTATATACCAAATTCATAATAATATTAAAGTAATTAAAATGATTGTTTTTATTAAACTATTTTTCAACATATTATTTCTTGTTTATATTTTAAACAGATGGTCGCCTCGTTCATTCATTATTTTCTACTTGCGACAATGGCTTGGATGGCTGTAAACGCTGTTTACATGTTTATTTGTCTGATTCTCGTTTTCAACACCCACTTCACATTTTTTCTACTTAAAACATGTGTTGCAGGATGGGGTGAGTTCAGTTTATATAAAGCGTATAGGATTATTATTTTATATTTTTTTTGTAAATGTGTGTTTAATTTTTGTTTGTTTTTTAATCCTAGGTTTTCCATTAATAATCGTCGCCATCACATTGGGGGTGAATAAAACGGAAAGTTATGGTTACACCTCTTCTGGAATGTAATAATTTAAACATATATATATATATATATATATATATATATATATATATATATATACCATACATTTATTAAAAGAAACATTATCTTTCTATATCTCTAATTTGCTATCACTCTCAAACTCTCTCTCTTTATATATATATGTATATATATATATATATATATATATATATATATATATATATATATATATATATATATGTTACGGCCAAAGCCCGAAGTCGGCCAATGCACGGATTGGCCGGCCAATGCGCCCATTGGCCAATATCGCCTCACATAGGTCGGTCAAAGTCCGAAACTTTGCTTGATTTCGGCCTTTTGCTGGCCAATCCGCAGACTTGCCATGGTGGACCGGCCAAAGTCTGAAATAGCTCTTGATTTCGGCCTTTGGCCGGACAGTCCGCGGGCTGGCCATGGTGAACCGGCCAAAGTCTTAATTAGAAGATCATCTGGCTAGGGACGACCGGCCAAAGTCCGAATGAGAAGATCATGAGCAGATTTTGGGGTTTTTTTTATGCCGTAAGGATCATGAAATTAAGTCTTTATTGATTATTGATTAAAGTAAATGACAGAAACATTCAATTTTTTTATTGTACTAGAGTTTTAATCAATCAATTTAATCTCTTGTTACAACAAGTTTAACTTTTATGGCATTTGGAATTACATAGAAGCGTGTTATTTTTACACTTGCAGCGATTTTTTGTGCACTTAGATGTGCAATTGCAGCGAGTGTAGCCTTGGCCGCCGGTCAATGATTGTGAAGATGCGATGGTTCGTAGTGATTTTTTCTCAGTGACAACTGAGGACAATAAGAGCAGTTTTTCGTGAAGAATTAAAATCTCACTTCTAGCATACTTTGACCGGTCCACCATGGCCAGTCCGCGGACTGGCCGGCCAAAGGACGAAATCAAGCAAAGTTTTGCACTTTGACAGACCTATGGGAGGCCATATTGGCCCATGCGTGCATTGGCCGGCCAATCTGGGCATTGGCCGACTTCTTGCTTTGACCGTAACACACACACACACACACATATATATATATATATATATATATATATATATATATATATATATATATATATATATATATATATATATATATATATATATATGTATATATATATATATTTATATATATATATATATATATATATATATATATATATATATATATATATATATATATATATATATATATATATATATATATGCAAATATAAATGTACATATTGTGATGTAAATATTTTAAAGTGCACGCATTAATGAATTCTATAAATAGATGTTGGGTGCAGCGTCCCGAGTTTTACTACGTGGTTGTTGGACCCGTACTTTTTACGCTGGTTGTCAACTGCACTGTGTTCTTGATGATTCTGCACCAGCTGCTACGTTTGTCACGGCTCAGTGGCCAAACCAGCTTAAACGAGAGTTCGACGAAGAGGTTTGTTTGTTTTGTGAACGCTTGGCACGTGTAAACATATATATATATATATATATATATATATATATATATATATATATATATATACATATATATATAACAATTTATGATTCTATGAATACTTGGGGGGGGGGGGGGGCGGGGGAGGTGTGAAGAATGCAGCGGCGCCATATAAATGTTCACAACTATGTTAGTCATTAATCATCTTAACATGGTAGGGATAGATTTTTTTTTACTTAAAAAAAAAGAATTTTGGAAGCCAAAGCAATCAAAAGAGAAAAACGTGCATAGAGATATTTACGTGTAAATAATGACTTTTTTCATTACAAAAAAAATTTTGGAAGCCAAAGCAATCAAAAGAGAAAAACGTGCATAGACACATTTACGTGTAAATAAGGACTTTTTTCCATTAGATACTCTGACTGAGTTCTTTCGATACAGTGGCGTAGCTAGGATTTTCGTGCCCCTATGCAAAAATTACCAGTGGGCTCTTTTCTCCGCTGTTAGGCTACAATGGAGTTAGCGAAGAAATCAAATGTTACTTAAGATGGAGGGTTTTCAAAAATATAAATATTATGTCAATTATGTATTTTATATGTCTTGATTGTGTATTTCTACAATATTATTGTGTATGCCTACAACCCCGTAGTTATATAAAATGTTACAGGCTTACAGTTAATGTTTTGTTTTTAATTAGCCAAACACAGTGGGGTCACAAAGTGGGGGAAGAGGTGCGGTCCACATCGGATGACATCATGACAAAAAATTGTAAAATTTACTGTCAAAACTATGTTATATACAGCTAAAATAATAAAAGATAAGTCAGAGAGGGATGACACCCCACCGAAAGTGCAAAATTGTAGGGGGCTATGGGGTGACACCTTTGGTCTACGTGTAGGGTAACACCCGACCTTGTGACGCCACTGACCAAACACTATTGTTTTTAAATTTCTCGAGATGTATTTAGATATATTTTTTTCTGCTTTTAACTTTGCAAAATGATTAATAAGTTCCATGAGGTCCATTATAGCAGCTCCTGCATGTTAGATACTTAGGATGGCCACGTTACTGACCCAAGGGGCATATCTACAATTTATTTCATAACAAATTAACAGCATCACAGTGAGCAAATAATGACATTTAAAAATTCCGTCATGGATATTAAAAACTCCGTCCCGTTCACCGTGGAATGTTAAAGAATATGTTAAAGTAATTAGCGTACCCGTCCGCGGTGCTGCTGTCTAGCTCCACATACCAGGGTACCTAAACAATTTGTAAGGGTTTCATCAACGCGTTACTGATTGTTGTACTTTTAGTCGAGTGACCTTGTTTGCTAAACAAGGAAAAGGGAAGTATTGGTGTATCCACTAAAACAGAGTAACCTTCATTTACATTATTTAAAATAATGTAATGCACCTTTATATATATATATATATATATATATATATATATATATATATATATATATATATATATATATATATATATATATATATATATATATATATATATAACATATTAGAAAAGGATTAGAATCAGGTTGATTAATCACATTGACTTATTTTTAAGTTTTTTGTGGGTTTATTTTACAACCGAAAAAAAATAACTTTTTATTTTACGAATGATTAATCACAATTGGTGAAATAAATCTCAATTTTATTTCAGGTTGGCACGAAATTTCCGCTCAGCCGTCAGTTTGTTTGTTCTGTTGGGTCTCACGTGGGTCTTTGCGTTTATGGCTATCGGAGCAGCGAATACCGTGTTCACATACCTGTTTGCGTTGTTTAGCTCTCTACAGGTGAGGTATTAGTTCTAGGGGTTAATTATAAAGCATGAAAATGATGTATTCGTTCTAAGGTTTGTTATAAAGCTTGCATATGATTTATTAGTTCTACGGGTTAGTTATAAAGCTTAAAAATGAGGTTTTTGTTCTAAGGGTTAGTTATAAAGATTGAAAAATGTATTAGTTATTACGGATTAGTTATAAAGCGTGCACATAAGATATTACGTTTATGTATTTTGTCATTATCATGGCAGATTTATTATTAAACTTTGCTGGTCAGTTATGAAGTTTGTAAAATAGCTATAAGCTCTAAAACATAGATAATTGATTCATCAGGTTTGTTATGTAGTTTACATGCTAGTTTTCATTTCACGTTTACATTACATAGGAGGATCAACGTGATCGGAATAGTTAAGCTATCGAAGCAAACCCAAAAAGAAAAGCAAGCTGAAATCGGAGTCAACGGCCTGTGTCGATAGTTCACGATCTTTTGTAAACACTAGATTTAAAGCTCTTTGCATTCCGTCGAGGCCAGTGTAAGATATTTTGTAAACAAAAAATTCTTCACTTCTTTTCTTCAGGGCCTCTTCATGTTTACTCTCTACTGTCTACTGAAAGAAGAAGTTTGGACTGTTTTGAAAAACTTATGCTGTGGTAAAGATGAGTTCTCTGATATAAAAAAGAGTAAGTACAATAATTGTTTACGTTTAACTGAAGTCGTTTTGTAACTAATTAAGTATTTAATTGGACGCTTGTCTGAAAAAAAAAGATATTTCTGTTTCTTTGTATACCCTTGAGTTAGGCTTAAGGATAGTTTTGGCCTGTAGTGATCTACATGTATTAACATTTTAGAACTAGATATGTTAGGAGTTAAGATCAATAGGAATGAACAACTCTTTAATAACCTGCATTTCTCAAGGACTATTAGAATTTTTGCTTCTGAGCAACGAGAAGCTGGTCATTAATTTTGAGTATATATTGTTTTTTAGGATAATATACACGAGAATTATTCGTTCTCTTGGGGGATTTATGAAGCATCTTGGGCGCGACATTCTTTTATTACAATCTCTGTGTTTCCTTGTTCATTTTTAAACAGGAATACTTATTTAAATAACAATGGACTAATAATTAATATATTTTTGTTCCACATAATGATCGATGTAAAGTAGTTTAAAATCAAATAATTTGTTCTCCATAGACACAATGACTACATCAAGTACATTTTATAAATCCAGCCTGAACGAAGAGGAAACAGTGAAAGATAGTTACAACATTGTAAGTATTACGTCTCATCATTTGAAATACTCTACAAAAATCGCTAATTTTTATTAAATTTTTTGTTGATAAATGGTTAAAATTATTTTATATAATACTACACGACTCAGTTACCCGTTGGAAAATGTCTGTGCTTCACTGCGCAAATCAAACCACTGCGCCGAGCACACCCGATTTACATTTCCATACTAAATGAATTTCTACTATACGCCCCGAACCTCTGCTCTTTCTTTCTGATTCATACATTTATGTCAATCACGCGGGGTGAGTCGGGATTGCAAAAATGACAAATTATGCGAACGATTGATGAGACGTTGTATGCTTGGTATTAGCTTCCACACAAAAAAGTATTAAATCTGCATACCAACATAAAACATTGTAAACCTAAATATGTACTTGTTTCATTCAACAAAACACTAATAACACGGAAAATTTAATTTTGCAATTGTGTACGTATGTTTGTGTATATATATATATATATATATATATATATATATATATATATATATATATATATATATATATATATATATATATATATATATATAATATATATATGTCTGTGAACATGATAACTTGAGTACAATTACAGCTAGATTTATATACTTTATAGTCTACTTTTAGTTTTTAAAAAGCCTATAACTTGAGCTTGTTTCGCCTAGACAAACAAAATTTCACATGTAAGTAAAATAATTAATGTTCTACTTTCTTGTAAATTTTGAGTAGTTTATGTTGACCGAAAGTATTTCAGATTTCTCAAAAGAAAACGCAAATGTATGCATAAAGTACTAATATTCCACTTTTTATTTTATTTTTTTTTTTTTTTAAATATTAAAATCAAGATTTATTTTTCTTTGTTTTCTTTGTTGTGGAGGGTTTTAACATGGATAATGATCTTGGTTCCTAGGAAACTGTTTTTGCTGTAACTTCTTCTTCAATACATGCTCTGATACCCTTCTCCAAATCCTTTTTTAACTTAGCAGCTTCTACTAGACGTGCCTTTTTTGGCGCTATCTGTAGGTGACCCTTTTTTATAACTCCTTTAGGTTTGCCATGCTTTTCTTTCTTTTTGCCTGGTACTTTAAGTTTTGAGGCCTTGTATTTTCCTTGTGCCATGATTGCTAATATTCCACTTTTTTTCTCTAATATGTAAAGCTCAATTCTGTATGTAAAAATAAATGTGTTTGTCGTGGATACTTCGATGGATTTCAGTGTTAGATTATTATCGTGCTCATTGTCTAAATTTGATCTGAGTTAAAAAATTACTATTGAAAGTGTTGGGAAATAATTTTCATTTTTCAAACTGATAGTAATAATTGCCGGCATGTTCATTAAAAACAATTTAAAAAAAAAAAATATCATCTTCTACAAAAACTCTAATTATGTCTGAAAATTATTTATATTTAGTCTTTAGCATTTACTTCCCTTTGAAAAATTAGGAAAACACAATTACTTCCCTTTATAAAGCATTGCATTAGTGGAAAAAAATTACTTTTTATTACTTTGTTTTTGTGTTGGGAAAAAAATAATTACAAAATTAGCGGGGATTGATCAAGTGCAAATGTCGTAGGTATTTTACGGTTAAGCTTGGAGTATTATAATTGTTCATTTGGTTTGGTTTGCCACCTACGTTCGTTTAAGTGAGTGCAAAAAGCTATGAATAAGTTGGGTACTATAGTCGTTTATTAAGCTGAAACAGGCGATTTTGCCCCGGGCTAGACTGTGAGCACTTTGCGTTTATGTTCGCGTTTGTGTTTTCTTTGTGTTTAGATTGGGTTTTCGTTAGTGGTTGCGTTTTGAGTTGGTTCGTTTTTGTTCTTTCTTTTTTTGTTTTCGTTTGTGTTTTTTTCTTTGGGTTTGTGTTTGTATTTGTGTTTGTGGTTGGTTTTGCGTTTGGATTTTGTTTCTTTTCGTTTGCTTTTTCGATTGTGTTTTTTTCTTTGGGTTTGTGTTTGTGTTTGTGGTTGGTTTTGCGTTTGGATTTGGTTTCTTTTTGTTTGCTTTTTCGATTGTGTTTTTTTCTTTGGGTTTGTGTTTGTGTTTGTGGTTGGTTTTGCGTTTGGATTTAATTTGTTTTCGTTTGCTTTTTCGTTTATTTTTTTCTTTGTGTTCGTATTGGTGTTTGTGGTTGTGGTTGGGTTTGTTATTAGGTTTTTGTTTTCGTTTGTATTTGTAATTGTGTTAGCGTTATGTTTGCGTTTTGTTGTTTTGTTTTTGGTTGGTTGTGGTTTGGGTGGGCAATGCCGGGTTTATGATAATTACAAAACACACAGGTAATGGTCTTTAACAGAAAGGTTTTTCACAGAAGCCAGAGCTGGGACGGCTAGTGATACATACATTTTCGCTGTTCACTTGTTGCGTAATTCATTTTTTTACGAGATTTTATTCAATTTTAAAAAGTTTAAGTAAACAAACGTTGTTTAAAAATCATGCCTATATCCCGAGTTGCATTGGAGAAAGTTTAGGGGAGATCACTCCCGCTCTATTTTATTTTGCCGACACAATAGTTTTCTGCATTTTTCAAGTTTTCATCACTTAATGAAATTTAATAGACAGCTAATGCCTTCGTATTTTCGAACTGAATGATTTGCCAAGCATTACTTTATACAATTCATAATATTGTCGGAACCCATCAGAAATGACAAATACATATATCATTTAAATTATAGTTGGAAGATAGAAATACATTCTAATGAACAACATTCTTTAATCAGTATCACTGTCTTATTTGAATTGTCGCCTAGTTTGCATTTTAACTTAATTATTTCCCGAGTAAAAAAAAATCTACATAATCAAATTTCACATATTGCATAATTAAATGTGTGCTTTTAATTTCAAATAAATCTTAACTATTTATTACCGTTTTCAAATAAAATTTGGCTTATACTGTTCTTTTTAAAATAATATTTCTCCCTTCATAATTGAGTGTTTTAAAGTTATAGACATTCTGCTTATTTTCCAAACTCGCTATACCAACTAATACATATATAAACATAGATATAAATCATCCAACTGGATAGACAGGTGAGTTATAATAGTGTTATGGCGATAAATGATTGGAGTGATTTTAACCTTGCTGAATTCTGGTAATTTTTAAATCACAGGAATCTGTTGAATCAGCGCCATTGAAGGATACAGGTGACACGACCTAGCAAGATTCTATTAATTCTATTTATTCTCGGACGTTTTCTTTGGTTTTAAACTGGATATCTGGCTAATAATGAAGACGGGTGTGTTTCTGCCTCTGATGTTTAGGCTTTGTCTCAGGTTAAAAAAAAGTGTCAGCATCTCAATCTATAAGATACTGCTTAAACGAGTTTGGATTTAGTTAAATTGTAATGAATGCAAAGTGTTAAAGTAGCTTCAACTGTGTCAAAGCTTTAATCACACTAAATATAAGGACTGATATATACGGAAATTGTGTCAGTGTTGGGTAATCACCCAACTTTTGTTTAAAAAAATTGTTTACAATAAAACTTCATAAGTCTTTGTTTTTATTTTATTTTCAAAGCATTGTTTTAAAATTCATTGTTTGTACATTTATTTAATCTAATAAATAAAGTTCAATTCTGTATGTATGTTTGTAAATGTTTGTCGTGAAATACCAAGAAATAAAAAAAAAACAATATTTGTATGGATTCAAGTGTTAGATGTTTAAAGTGCTCATCGTTTAAATGTATGGGTTAAAAAATTAATATTGAAAGTGTTTTAAAACAATTTTCATTTTGCGTACTTAAAATAAAATTTAAAAAAAAAGGCAAGATCGAAGAAAAAAATGTCCTTGAAGAGCTATATTTATGTTTTAAAGCTTAAAAGTTTCCATCAGATGAACACAAATATTTTTTTTAAATCAATAAAAGTTTAAAAGGAAGCTCCTAAATGTTCTCTATGTTTACCTTTATCTATAGTCTTTAACTGAAAGAAACCTTAGCCCGCTAGTTACTATGCAAAACAAATAACCCATAATCCATAGACCAAAAACTCATAACACAAGAGTCATATCCCAATAAACCCTACCTTTTAACATATAACCCATTAAAAAGTACATATTGCAATAATCAATAACCCGTAAACCGCTGTCGTCATTTTCACGTGACCACTTACCCGTAACCCATAACCCATAACCCTTTACGAATTACCTTTAACAATTATTCTTTTACCCAAAAAAACCCATAACAAATAAACTACAACAAAAACCCTATAACACATAATCCACAACCGATAACACACTCCACAACCCATAATCCTTAAATGTAACAACAAACAGCTAAAATGGTCTTTGTGATGTTGGAAAGGGAAGGGTAGTAAATTGTGGATAGGGTAAGGGAATCAACGACATTAAGGAAAACGTAAATTGTGGATGGGTAAGGAATCAATGACATTAAGGAAAACGAGTGGGGATGATTAACCGCTGCGGATAATGTACAAGATCAATAAAAAATGCAAAATGGGTCGGGCAACTGGACAGACGGACAGACAGATGGACAGACAGACTGACAGAGAAACAGACAGACAGACAGTTGGTTGAACGGACCGACAGAGAGAGAGAGAGAGAGAGAGAGAGACAGAGAGAGAGGAAAAAAATTAAAGAAAGCTGGATTGAAATAAAGATTGATAGAAATAAAAATGGAAATGGAAATAAAGAAAGAAAACAAAAAATAAAGAAAGGAAAGAAAAAGAAAGAAAGAAATACAGAAAAAAAGAAAAACATTCTTTGAAGCTTATTGTCTATTTATTATCAAATGAATAGTCTTCGGGAAGGTGGGGGGGGGGGGGGGGTGGTTCAGATGGTGTGACGTCACTTTTTTGCATTATAAAAAAGCAATGTTAGAAAACGAGTTTTAGCCGTTATTTCGCGTTTTAGAAAACTGTTTTAATAAATTGCAATAGGAATTGATCAAAATACTCTATGTAGACAGAGTTCTTACAAGATTTTGGAAAAATATTGATGTTTTAAGAAAAATTCAACAGCAATTTTGAGAGGGGTTTTAGGCTGAGGTATGACGTCATTTTAGGGGGGGGGGTCTGGCTTTTTGTGACGAAATGTGTGTGGGAGGGAAGGGAGGAGGTAAAAATCGTTAAAAAAGCGTGACGTCATTTATGGATGACCCCTTATATTTCTTTTGATTTTCTACACAAACATAACCCGCATTAAAAAAAAGGAGCTACTCATGATAAAACACCATACTAAATTACTAAAATAAATACCTCTCACATTAATTATCTCTATTCTGCTCTCCCCAAACCCCTTTAAACAAATAACAAACCTTAGACAAACATCACCGCCTCCTTCCTCAATAAACTTATATTTAATTTAACCAACCACCTATGGTACTTTAAAATTACTGCCCTTACAATAAAATCCTTCCACTCGACGCTCACAAAATAAAATCTTTCCTTTGTTGATAAAATCCATCTTTACAAAAACCAACATTGCCAAATCATGACAAAAACAGCCCCGATTCTCTGCTTATTATAATCGTCCCTCTCGCTTCAATCACGGGGCCGCTTCTTACAATGAAAGAGGTTTTTTACTTTCATATTGTTCTGACTTCCACAGAGGCGTAGCGACCCTTCACGGCGCCCAGGGAAACACTATCAATTTGGCGCCCTTCTCGGTAGCAAATTTTCAATTTGCACCCCCTTCAAACTTTCGATTTTCACACCCCCCCCCCTCAAACTTTCGATTTGCAACCCCATCAAACTAATTATAATGCAAAATTGTAGCTAAAATGGCATTTTAATTTGTTTTTACAACCCACTTTGGCGCCCCTTAAGGTCGGCGCCCGGGGACTTATGTACCCCCCCCCCTACCCCCCCCCCATAGCTACGCCTCAGGACTTTATTTCTCTCCCACTTTTCTCCTCCCCCTCTCCTATTTCTCTACGCCACTCTCTCTGGTTGGCTAGTGAGCATCTGATGTCGGGTTTGCGTGGTGTCCACATGCCACGTGATATACAGAACTACGTTACACACCACTCACTCGCTATAAAGCTTTAACAACATCGATTGGTTTTCCTACTGTGGGGCCCACAAACAGTCTGCTAACGTGGGACCCTCCCCGACTAGACAGGCTGCTAACGTGGGACCCTCCCCAACTAGACAGGCTGCTAACGTGGGACCCTCCCCAACTAGACAGGCTGCAAACGTGGGACCCTCCCCAACTAGACAGGCTGCTAACGTGGGACCCTCCCCGACTAGACAGGCTGCTAACGTGGGACCCTCCCCAACTAGACAGGCTGCAAACGTGGGACCCTCCCCAACTAGACAGGCTGCTAACGTGGGACCCTCCCCGACTAGACAGGCTGCAAACGTGGGACCCTCCCCAACTAGACAGGCTGCTATCGTGGGACCCTCCCCATCTAGACAGGCTGCTAACGTGGGACCCTCCCCAACTAGACAGGCTGCTTACATGGGACCCCTCCCCCTAGAACAACCCCTAACGCGAGATCCCCACCTCACCCCCCCCTCCACCTCGTTGACAAGCAGCTAATGTGCTACCCCTAATTCTCACCAGACAAGCTACTAACTCGGGATTCCTACCTACCTCCTACACAATCTCCTCACCCTCTATCCTTAACAGCCTGCTTATGTAAGACCAGTGGCGTAGCGAGGTCGGGTGTCACCCGGTGCGGCACTTAATGGTGTCACCCCCCCCAGAGGCATAGAGACCCTTCCCAGGGAGAAACTTTCAAATTTTCGATTTGCACCCCCCCCCCCTCAAACTTTCGATTTGCACCCCCTACCCCTCGAGTTTTCGATGTGCACCCCCCCCCCCCCCCTCAAACTTTCGATTTGCACCCCCCCTCGAGTTTTTCTCTATATATTTTGCTATTTTTTCCTTGGTTTCACCCCCCTAAATGGTGTCACCCGGTGCGATCCGCACCCCCGCCCCCCCCCCCCTCGCTACGCCCCTGTGTAAGACCTCTAGGAAACAACCAGTAGCTCCTATTAAAATTAACTCAATTAATTATTGAGTTCACGAGCATGCTGATTGGGTCTTTGTGGCCAGTTTTTAATTAAGGGCATTAAGCACGTGCCCATACATATGCTAGCTCTTGATTTTTGTTAAGGCCGATGCTAGCCGGAATAAGATACGAATGCGCAATGGAGAGAAACTACGACTTGCCATCGCGGCGATGTTTTCGATGGTACTGCGCTGCGCTTGCGTGTGTTTACAACCACAGAACCCTAACACCAACCCTAATCCTATCCCTAACCATATCCCTAATCCTAATCCTAATCATATCCCTAACCCTAAGCCCTAATCCTATCCCTATCCCTATCCCTATCCCTATCCCTAACCCTAAAATCATTTTAGTTCGAGGCTGTTAAGTTAAGAAAATATTTAAAACGTGTGAACTAAATGTACCAAGTCGTTTGAATCAAAAAATGTATTTAAATATATAGAGTTATAGAACCTTAAAGTTAACAGATGATGAAAAAATAAAATAAAAAATTAAAATTAAAATCCGCCTCCTCACCCACCTCACTCAGGAGGTAGAGTCTTTTACTATATATCCTTTACTCTTACTCGTGTTCCCCCTTCACCCACCTTCTCCACCTTCACCCACCTTTCACCCTTCACCCACCTGCTCACCCTTCAACCACCTGTTCACTCTTCACCCGCCTACTCACCGCTCTCATCCATATTACTATAATCGAATATGTATTGAACACTTGTTAAGTTTACACCGTGATATTTTAAAAGCCTTTGATGACTTGGAAAAAACGTTAATAAATAAATAAAATATAAGAAGACTTTTGTTTTAATTTTAGTGTGTGTATGTGAATGTGTATACGTGTAGCGTAATAAAACAAGAAAACCAACAAGGTAATGCAAAAAGTCCGGGAGGCGCCTCTAATTGCGGGACCAGCTGTTGGACAGCTGTCAACCCGAGTGGTAAAAACCATTAAAGTGGTAACAGCTGTTACCACACTTTACGGTCGCTTTGCGGTTAACCACTTAGCTCTTTCGCTTAATTACCATAACCCCTGCGGTGATTGCTTCGGCGAACCCCACATAAATCGCTGATGCGTGTGTGGTACCAGCTGTTGCACAACTGATGCACAGCTGTCGCCTGATGGTTAATGGATACACGCATTCGACACGGGTCGATCAATACATTCACATTCAAAAACACGCAGCGCCGGGGAGGTTCACGGGCGGATCGATAAGTAACAGGTGTTGGTAATGAGTAACAGCTGTGGCTAATGGAAGTCGGGGCACAAAGTATACGTTAGCGTTGTGTTGGATAATATAAAAATTAAAATCAAACTACATAAAATGAATTTCAAACAAATAAACAACAAGTAAACAATCAAATTAAACAATTTAAATCA